CCGCGGCCCCGGGAGAGGCTGCGCGGCCCCGCGGAAGGGCCCGGCCCGGCTGAAGTCCTGCGCGCTGCAGGCGCGGGGGGTCCTCGAGGGGTGCTGGTGCAAGCCCAACATAGCACTTCATTGTGTCCAGTGCGTTTTAGTTGCAGAGGTCGAGAAATGCAGCGGGGTCTTCGTGGGGACGTCAGTTAAAGCGCACTGCTTGCATCGCCGGAATGTAGATCTGTATGTTTTTTTTGTCGTCTTAACTTTATGATGTTTGCGTAGTTGTTTCTCGTCTTTCTAAATTAAATTGAAATGGATGTCTGCCTCGCTGTGGTGGGTAGTGCTAACTGTCTCTATTCGTGTACTTGCCAACCACGTTAAACTTGAAAGCACAAAATGTTGACGTTTGCATTTCCATTTCGCAAAGCATATAGGGAAGAAGGTCTTATTTCAGCCTGGTTTAATCTGAGAAAACCAATTAAAATTTTTTCTGCTTTAAATTAAGGGTTGATCCTTTCTCCAAAAAGGACTGGTATGATGTCAAAGCACCAGCAATGTTTAATATCCGAAACATCGGGAAGACACTTGTCACCAGGACTCAAGGAACTAGTGAGTAGTGGGATTTTACACAGCAGAGGGAGACTTATTTGTCCCATGTGCTAGCTCCAAATGAGATTCGATTAAAGAAGTGCTGACAAGTAGGTTTTGCTCATAATATTATGAACCTGTAAGTTTAAAAAAAGAAGTGCCTGCCTCTAATTTCATTGCTTGTTTTGAGTGAGTTTTCTTAAGTTGACAGAGTTGTTTAAACAAATGAGTTTAGTTGCAGGGAAGTTGATACGGTGTGGTCTTTGTTTGTACAAGAGCACCAAACTGTAGCTATGATATAGAAGTATGTGCGTGAAGTTGTGGTAACCTGATGAGTTTGAGGAAAGTTGTGAATTAAAAAGTCATTCTGATTATCACAGAGGGAGATGTGGAGGCAGTGTTACAGGAGACCTTAGTCAGACTGTTGTGTTAGAAGAGACTGGAATTTGAAGTTTTTAGTTAAAGGGATCTCTGAGAGCTACAGCTGCTAATGTAATGGGAGCATATGTAGATGTATCACTGAATGGTAAAGGTTTTTTAGGTCATCTGGCAGAGCTTAGGAAATAAAAGCCTCTGTTAGGAATGCAGGGTGATCCAGATAGAGATAACCATATTTTTGGAAGGTTGGCTGTGTAAAATGACTAAATAGTTGCATTATACTATTCTGGTTGCACTTAAGATGACAATTGTTATTTTGAACTGTATACGTGTGAAACAAGTAAAATAAGGGTCACTGTAAGCCACGTATGAGTCAGCCAGTGTAAAAGGGTTAATTGTTAGAGGTAGAGCTGTGAAAGACTGTACTTTGGTGTTGCTGTTTAATCTCTACTAGCACATGGGGCTTTTTATTTTTTCATTACTTTTCATAATTTCAAAGTACTTTGTAACCTCTTCCACTTAAAAAAACCCCAGTTACACATGCTGGAATTTGCACTTCACTGGTATTTATATTCAGCATCTGATATAATTATCTTAAAGATTCCTCACAAAGTTAACAAAATGAGTATTGCGTTCTATGAATTGGCTTGATCTTGTTCAAGATACCTAAAAACTTGAGAGCTGTAAAGCTAGTGGCATCACCTACTATTAGAAAACATTAAATGGAAATTCAGTATCTGTTTTGAGTAATACTTTTCTAATGTTAATAAAAAGTATTTTATTTTGTTTCACAATACAGAAATTGCCTCTGATGGACTGAAGGGTCGTGTATTTGAAGTGAGTCTGGCTGATCTGCAGAATGATGAGGTTGCCTTCCGTAAATTTAAACTGATAACTGAGGATGTTCAGGGCAAAAATTGTCTGACCAACTTCCATGGAATGGACCTCACCCGGGATAAAATGTGCTCCATGGTCAAAAAATGGCAGGTGTGTAAAGAACAAGGTCTGCGTTGTTGCTGTTGTGCCTTTAGGAAAGGAGATAACCACTGAACCACTGATGCCACGTAAAGCTGCATTGGAAGTGGCGTCAGCAGATATTGATGAGTGTTAGTTGTGTGGTTTTAAGAAACCTGTCACATTGATGATAAATGACTGTTTCTTTTTTAGACAATGATCGAAGCCCATGTAGATGTCAAAACTACCGATGGTTACCTACTGCGCCTCTTCTGCGTGGGTTTTACAAAGAAGCGTAATAACCAAATCCGCAAGACCTCGTATGCCCAGCATCAGCAGGTTCGACAGATTCGCAAGAAGATGATGGAAATCATGACCCGAGAGGTCCAAACCAATGACCTGAAAGAAGTTGTCAATAAGCTGTAAGCTCAGGCTGTGTGTTCTGTTTCCCTACAGTTTAAATAGTTTGTTGGTTAGTCGTTACCGAGTACTTAGGGAATGCTGGTGCTTCACATACTGTTCACCTGAGACCAGGCAAGGTGCCTCTGCTGTTGAAAAGCTAATGTGCCATTTTCTTCAAATATTCTCTTAGTCTCTGCACCATACTTGACTTCTGTCAACCATCATATTTGCATAAATGTAAATTCAGGCTCTCCAGAGGTTTTCGATTTGAGTTTTTGCAGACTCAAATTGTAATTCTGATCAGCTGGGGCTGTGGATGTTCTGGATTCTTCTGATAGAAGGAAGTTTTCCAAAGCGTGGTGTTTGCTTCCAAAAATTTAATTGCAGATTTGCTCTCAAAATGAGCACACTTGCACTGTATCCCTTCTAACAGTGCAAGGAAAATGTCTTGGAATCTAAACATACTTGAAGAAAACTGTCAGAGAGTGAAGGTGGTATTGATGATGCAGACTTTTGTAGAATATTATGTATTCTTAAGAACTCTTTTAAGCTTGTGTTGCTGGTGAAGAAGTAGGCACAATTTTGTAGTGTGCTGGTACTGATGTGCTTTCTGATTTCTCAGGATCCCAGATAGCATTGGCAAAGACATAGAGAAGGCCTGTCAGTCCATTTACCCTCTTCATGATGTCTATGTCCGCAAGGTTAAGATGTTGAAGAAGCCCAAATTTGAATGTAAGTCAATTCCTGCAGATTTTTAGTGTTCTTAGAGGAGGATGTGGGAAGCCATGAGTTTAAAATGTATTTGCTTTTGATAAAGATGTTAATGCAACATTATTATAAGCTTTAAGTAGCTGTAGTAGTAAAAAGGCTTGTCCTTCTAGTCCAACATGTGGCTCGAAAGGCGAGCAGCAATCATCCAGTTTGGAGAGGTTTTTGAATTCATGCTTGAAACTGCTGCTGACTGTTCAAAGGCTTTGGCTTGGGAATGAATGATGACAAAATGTTTCGGTCCCAGATGACATGGAATGATTCTACTTTTCCCCCTTTCTGACATTCCCATATAATGCATTATTAGGTTAGGAACAAGGCTTCATTTGCAATTTCATTATGTAGCACTTCACTGCTTGGTTTTGTCAGTAATTGTAGCAGCATCTCCTTGCACGAGCTTTCGGGAATGGTCTTGATCATACCTACATTAAATGTTCTGGTGGTTTAATTTGTATATGATGTGCAATTTATTAATTTAAAACTGTTTAAATAGGTGCATCTCTCACTATTTATAATACTCCTTCTTTTTAGTGGGCAAGCTGATGGAACTGCATGGTGAAGGTGGTGGTGCTGGAAAACCTTCTGGAGATGAGGCAGGCACTAAAGTAGAGCGAGCTGATGGATATGAGCCGCCCGTGCAAGAATCTGTCTGAAACTAAAACTGATCAAAAATAAAAGTTTTAATATAGAGAACTGATGTTTGGTTGCCTATATTGCTACTAGACAGTATTGGTACTTAGTATGTGGATGGGCTTTTAAAAAGGTAAAAACCCGTTGCCTTAGTTTAAAAAAAAAAAAAAAAGAAAAAGAAAAAGAAAAAAAAAGAAAAAATACTTGTTTTGGAGATCTGGCTTTTGTGATTGGTGTTGTGTGATGGGTGGAAGAAGGTGGGTTGTCCTTTTTGAAAGGTGGAGAGTACAGTACCAAGGATTCTGTGTTGGGTTTTTCCCAGGAATTTTGGCCCTCACAAAAGCAATCTTGTGGATGTGCACAGAGGTTGTAATGGTGAGAGGTGCTTCAAAGAGGAGCATTGTACAGGGTATGGGGTGCCACATAGGGGAACTTAACTGCTTCAGAGTTGTTTATTGCAGGGAAGTCTGAGATTTATCCAGGCTACTTACTGGAGAATTATGTAAGTGTATGTTTAAGCTTCTTGGTAGTAATTTGATATGACCTCTCAGGATAGATTGGTCTCTGATAGTCAAAATTAAAAGATCTTTAAGTTGTAATTTTGATTATGGAAGCAATGTTGGTTTTGAGCAGTGTAGAAACAAGCTGAAAGTAGGTTTGTATGTATTCTAGCCTCTATCAGAACTGAGGGATAACTATAATCGCAGTTGAAACATTTGTGGAACTTCAGGGGAAAAAGTTCTACTGTAAAGATGCAGTGGTCTTTGTTCTGAAAATAAAGCGCTCAAGTGATTTGAAAAATTTTGAGTGCTTTTTCCATTCTCTGATAGCAGTTTTGCTTGTTGCTCAGTTTTTGCCAGTTTAGAAGTTGAAGGGTGTATTTTTCTGGCTAAAACAATGTGTTTGCACTATCAGCCTGTCTTGTTTGGAATTGGGCAACAAAGCTAAACTTGGTGCTATTAAATTGTTGGTAAGCTTGTCATTTAAAACCTGAGAACGGAATGATACAGACAGATTTGGGGAGGTCACAGACATAGTGGTAGCTTCTGCAGTCAACTATAAAATGGACAAGAAAGGAGAAAAGCAATTACATATTACTGTTGCAACAAACTTAGTAGGCGAAGAATAGAGGGACTCTACTACCCACCAGGGCTGTACTGGTGTCAGGGATTTTTGCCTTTTCCTAGTTGCTGATTCTGGTTTGGAGCAAATAATATGCAAAATGAAAGGAATGTTTTCTAATTTCAGACTGCAGGTGATGTGACTTCATATTGTGATTCCAAGTTAGTTTAACTAACTGAGTTAGTATGGGGGATGATATTTAGAATAGCCGGTGATTTAATAGTCAGGTAACCCATCTTTATTGGATTGTAAGTACTGGCCTGCTTTTTCTGCTTTTTTCAGTTTGTGTGGTGGAAGGGTAGTGAGTGCTCAGAACTTTCATGATGCTGAAACAGGAGAAAGGAGTAGTGCTGCTTTTCATCTGTTTTGCTCTCCATCTGCACTGTTGAGTCATTCTCCAGGACTCCCAGACTGTCATATTTTTGAAGCCATAAATTGCAATAAATGTCCCTTCTCTAACAAAAATGAGAACTTTTCACTGGACTTAGAAAAACCATGATTTAGGGTATGTCTGGGGAGATTGAAAATCCTTGAACTTACTACAGCATGTTTTAATGCGGGTGTGTACATATATATGTGCATATATTCAAGCCCTGCTGCATTACAGTATGATCTGTCAGAACTTTCTAGTAATGGACAGGTGTTGGCTGTATTTTCTCCACTTAGTGGTAGTTCCATCAAATACATTGTAAGGGACTGACTGGCCAGTGCTCTCTATAGACAAGGAGAGTTAGAAATCCTAAGGTGGTGTTTTCTGCTCATTTCTGAAAACTTGTGTGTCTGTTATCCTGTTACTTTTTCCTTCGGCTGTGTGTCTGAGGTGTATATGTTGCAAAAAGGCCAGTCCAAGAGGATTTGGGGAAAGAACAAGAACTTACTTCAGGTTTTAGAACTTAATTTTTGAATCTGTAGACTGCTGGCATTACCATGTAGGTGCTCTGGGTAAATGTACACTTTATAAAACTACTTCAGATGGGAAAGTAAGCAGGAAGGAAAACTTTGTGCCTCCTCTGTATTCTCTGTACAAATATCAGCTGAAAAATGATGGTGTATGAATAGTGCACACCAAAATGGATGTGTAGAATTGCTCATCAGCTCAGGTTCAGCCTGTGGCTTGGTCACAAGTAATCTTGCCACAGGCAGAGGAGAGCATCACCATCTTGAGCGACGCCCTGTGATAATGGCTGGCTGCAGCAAGTGGCAAGTGCAAAATGTACTCGAGTCCGAAGGCTTGAATAAGCCATGTTAGAGCCATAAGGGTTCTGGGGGGTTTGGACTACTTGTAAAGGGATGTGGTATTACTGTAGTAGCTGTTTGGGGGTGGGGCTGGGTTTCTTGCTGTTGTGTTAAATATATTGGCAGAATGAGATGCATAAAATTGCTGTGTGAAGTGGAAAGCTCAGCTCTCCACAGCATAAAGGCAATGAAAATGCCATCATGTTTTAATTATAAAAATTTTATTGGTTAAATACATTCTTAATTTACAGAGGTACCATATCAAACTTACTGGACTTAACATGATTTATTTAGGACACTGTTAAATGTACACAGAACAAAGATGTCTTCCTGAAGGTATTTCCAGAGGGTGGGTCAAACAGGAAATGGTTTGAGAAATGAGGCTTTTACTATCATACTAATGTATGAGAGTCTGGCTGAATTTCAGGGTTACAGCTGAAAGTTGCTACTACATTGCAGTTAGGATTTGCGCTCAGTCTCATTCATTTTTGCAGATTATGTACTGTACACCTTAGGAATTTTAATTTACAATCTGTATGCAGTTTCATGGTGATATTAGGCGTCAAGTCTTAAGAAAATCCCTTCCTGTAAAAGCTAAGTATCTAACTTGTTTCAGTTTTAATAAATACGTTCTTATCTGCCTGCAGTAATGCAAGCAGGCTTTAGATGGCACTCCTTGCTCGGAAGATAAGGCTTTGCTGCCCTTCCTGCCCTGCATAATAGGGAGATGATTAAAATAAAGGAGAGTGGTCTTACTACCGACAGGCACTGACTAAACATTCAGTGGAAGTTACAAAAACAACTGGTCAATACACAGCTGTAAAAACAGGGAAGAGGAAATTGAAAATATAAAAATTCAGTCCTACTTCTGAGACTTGTATCAAAATATTAGAAAACTACCAGACAAACAGTAAGTAAACATCATACACTTAAGCCTCATCTACCATGACAATGATGTGGTCTGTCTTTGGAGGACCTGGGTATTATGGTTGTTGGTGTGGGCTTTGCTTGGTGCTGCTGTTCTTCCCCTGCTGTGTTCCCTGCAGGTTCAGGAATCATGCTGGCACAGGTCATGGTGGAAGAAGCCTCTTTTAAAAGAAGGGTGATCCACTGAAAGTTTATGGTTGAAAAGTCTTGAGTGACTTGCAGGAGTCAGGAAAGCTATCTATGTGCTTCCTTGGTTTCTGTAGCAGGAGATGGATGTTTTATTGGAATAAACAACATGAACCTTTGAAATCTCCTGGCAGGAGAGCGTGGAGACTGGGAAGGGTTGTCCTCAAAGGTGGACTTACTAAGTGATTCCACAGGAGTTCTGGATAAGCTTGCTTGGGGACGGTAAAACTGAATAATGCCTCTATAAATTGTCATGTTTCCATCTTTCTAGAATAGCACACACTTTATAATTGTATTTGTAAAGTTAATTCCCTTAATGAAAGTAGAAATTGCAGTTCTCAGCTCATTAAAAAACTTTGTGTGATCTTCATCCCTCAGTTGTGTGAATGGTACTGGTGCAGTTTAAATAGACAACACTTCATGAAGCTTCTAGAGGAAAAAAGATCGGAGGGCTAACGTATGTGTCTGTCTGCAAGTACTTGTGGCATTATTGATTGCAGAGCAAAATGGGGCTGGGGGCCTCATGTCTGTGCAGCATGTTTCTTGGGCTCGCTTCAGGGGAGCCCCAGTCTGCTACCAAGATGGGATGCCTGTTCCCTGCTGCGGGGGAGTCCTGTCCAGTTTTGGCTGTGAGCTTGTTCCCGCCTGCTGTGAGACAGTAACCAAAGTGCAGTGCCTGGGGAGGGGAGAGCTACCCTCACCAGCTTGCTTAGACACCAATTTAGATGCATGCCAACCTTCTGTAGCAGTAGGTAGTTGTTGCTTCAATACTTGGACCTTGTATTGATAAAGTTGTAGGCAGGAATGTGACTTAAGTCAAAACTGTCTCAAGGACAATCATGACTCTAGTTTTCAGTCTGCATCCACCACTCAACTGTTGCCCCTTTTGCAACCTGAACTTGTAAGGGTGTCTTGATACCTAGTGACCTGCATCTCTGAAGTAATGACTCATACTAACAGCTCACTGGTTCTTTTTTGTTACACAATACAAAAGCGATGGAATACTGGAATACTGTCAGCAATGAAAGAGCCAACTGTGGCATATTTTTTTCTATTCCAGTCTGATGAAGTTAGCAGTTAATCAAGATGCATTTAACTATTTTTGTCAGAACCCAAATATTGCAGAAAGCTATTTACTACTAGAAGTTCCTATGATGTGAAGCTATCTCAGTCATGTCTTAAGCTTGCTGTTCAAGTCACACTGCTGCTTTTTACTAAATGCCTTAGTTACTTCAAGAAGCTCTAAGAAACCTCTTGCCAGGCATGTTTTCCTTAAGGCCTTGACAGACCATTTATAATTATGCTCAGTATAGTTGGTATGTGGTAACAAACTGCAAACTAATCCCATGTCTGTTGAAAGCTAAAACCAAGGCTGTATAATATCCTTCATGTTAAGGACAGGAATAGTGTTACTGAAGTATGTTCCAGTGCTTGAGTGGCAAATGAAATGCAGACTGAGTGAAGACTGGATTTCCACTTACAAGAAGGGGGTGGAGGGGCGAATAACTGGAATAGTGCAGCTACTACAGGGAGGGGATCTGAGAGAGCTCAGTAAACACTGTCTGTCACAGCTAACTTTGGCTGGGAAAGAAGGGTATGACAGTGCTCAAAGAGCAGGGGAGTAAAAAACCAACCTGCATCTGGAAAGGATTTTGGGAGAATGGAGAAAGGTCTAAGATGATTCATACCAATTTGAATGTTACTTGTTAAGAGGCAAAATACTTAAAAAAAAAAAAAAAAAAAAAAAAAAAACCTGTATGAGCAGCTTGGGCTAAGAATAAAAGAATACTACACAAGGATTTGCTTCTGAGTTTTACCAGTATTAGATTTGATATTTTTCTGCTATGAAATACCAGTTATCTTCTTTATGCTCCAAGTCATAAAACAAGTGGATTCTACTGCTAATGTGGAAGTCAAGCAGTAACAAAATCTGAATATCAAACTTGATCTACATACTGAGTGCTGCAATTATATCTTAAAAACAATTTTTTAAACTTGGAGGTTTTTTTAAGCAGCCCAAAGAAGCTTACTTTATGCAGACTTTGTGCATGATAAATGTAATACCAGATAGTAAACATATTACAATGCTATTTAAGTTAAAATGGTGTTGCACCACTGTATTTTCCTAGTTGGAAACTGCTAAAATCCTGCTTGTATTTGCTCTCAGAGCATTCATGAAGCATGACTACATACACTGTCACAAAAGACTAAAATTTTCTTATTTGACTTCAAGATACTAGAATGACTGTCTAGAAAAAGTAGTGCAAAACATTGATAGTCAAAACACATTGATGTCTCTGCTGTGCCTTTAGGACAGAAAACATTCTCTCCAACTTGTAGGGAGTACAAAGAGAGGCAACGCTTCATGGTGTTTTTAAAATCTGAACAAAGTTCTTGGGAAATATCCCAGACTTCCCTTGTATCTCTCCACTCATCCAGTCCTTGTCTACAGGTTCCACCTCTGTTATTGTATCACCTGCCTGTAAGAGAAGGAGTAATGTGAGCCAGTACAGCTTACTGTGCAATGTTAATGCATGCATAGCTGATGTTATTTAGAAGCAATTAATATCAATCAAATAGACATAGGATATGGCCAGTCTCTTCTGTTGGGTTAGATCTCTTTGAGATTGTTTGCCAAAACCAGCTGAAGGTTCTCTTAGGGTAAATAACTTGTCTGCTGAAAAACCACTGCCTTCTGGAAGGAAAAATTAGCACTGCTGGGTAACTTCTTGCATTGCTTAAGCTCTCCAGGTAGGTAGGTATGTTAGAGAGCTGCCTCACAGGCCCCTACCCTTATTTGTGTTTTTTTTTTCCCTGCTCTGTTATGAGGGTTTCTTTTCTTAGAACACTTCAAAGCTTGCTTTTCCTAGTTTAGTCCCAGTATTTTCCAGCATTTAAACTTTCTTTTTTCCTTTGGAAACTTTCCTTTTCCAAAAAGGAAAGCAATTGTCTGAAGTAGCTCAGAGTGGCTGCTTAAAACAAATTGCAGCTCCTGTGTTTGATTCCTGTTTTCATTGTCCCATGCCACTCCCTTCATCTGAAGTACTGTCATGGCCCTGGTCTTTCTTCCTGTAACTCCATTCCCCTTTTCTGCTTTAAAGAATCATCTATCCTTTTAGCATTGCAGGCTGCTAATGTTGAAATTCATCATTTTGCTAATTTTAGAAAAGAAATAGTGTGTTCCTGCTGATAAACACAATTGTGGGCCTGCTGTGAAAGTCTGCTCCTTCTCTGAAATTTGCTTTTGAGGACACAGTTAACTAAATCATGACTTTGAATCTACAAGGGCATGCTGCTTCTTGTTCATGTTTCTTAGTATTATCTGGACATCCAGCAAGTATTTAATTTCTCCCCTTACTCCCATGGCAACTCTGTCTTGTGCTTCCAAACTTTTAGATTTTGCTGTATCTAGGTGTCCCTTAGAGGCAGAGCTGCTGTAGCACTGGCACTCTTATTGTTATCCTTCTTATTGCTCTATTGAGCTAAAAAAGAGAGGCTCCCTTGACCATATCAACTGCAAAATGAGGTTGGTATGTCTTGTCATGTTTACCAGATTAGAGAAATCAAAGAAATTCTGCAATCCTGACTTCTTTTAAATGTCTTCAGTGAAGATTTTGCTAACATGAAACTGAAGTGGTAAGGGCAAAAAATTGAGATGCCACTTATCAAGTAAATATGTTCATATCTATGCCTATTTTATGTGCTTCATTCTTCCACATTGTGGCTACAAGCCTATTTTCATGGTGGATAAATCATATTTTTAACATTTTTCAGGAGCATAAGACCTTTTGGAAAATTGGGCTAAGAGAGGTACTTACTTTGAAGGAAAGCTCATCTTCATTTTCTCCATGAAAATCATAAAGAGCTTTGGCTTTTCCTTTTTTCCCTCCTACAGAGTGTGACAGCTCTACTCTGGCTGCAGAATGTGGAAAAGACAAGTTACATGGATTGGAGTGGAATAAATCTCTTTCAGGAGGAGTTTCCTGTGCTTTCCATGTTTTCTCCTCACTAGTGTGCTACAGGGTGTCCAGATGTTATTACTACTGCTACTTAGCAACTTCACTGTCCTACTGGAATGAAAGTGTCTATTGACACTGTACTAACACATTCTCATGGTTCTGCTTCTAAGATGACTAAATTTAAAGTTAACTTACTTGAACTTTCCAATGGTAATATCTAATAAAAGCTGTCTTTTCCTCTTTGTACTTGGAGATGAAGTGGCACTCAGTGTGTGCTATTTGCCAGTTAAGTGGAATTTATTTCCTGTCAACTTTCACTCAGGGATTTACTTGCAAAAACTACAGGGGGAAAAATATTGTGATTTTTCTGTGAAGGTTTTGACTGCATTGCTTTGGCAGCCAAACTGAAGCTTGAGGAGAGCAAGCAGCATTTGTTCCTTGCTTCAGCAAGGTGATTACCATAGTTCTGTGCCAAGGCACAACAGTTGTAGTTAGAACTCTACCAGCTCTTAGATTGTGCTGCAGTGTTTCTCAGAGAACCTAACTTCCCCCCATCTTTTGTACCCCTGACTTCCTACCATGGGCAGCTCAAGGGCCCTGTTTTTGCCTGTGCCCAAACCCCACTTTAAACCATCCCATAATCTGTATCACTTCCCAGATTACTTCCTGATTAGGGCATTACTTTGCCATTATTAGAGAGGGTGGTTTAAGATATATTAAGTACTGGGGTGGTGTGTGCAATGGAATAGTTGGGTTCTCCCGGAACTCAAGTCATGATTGTCACAACCCAAGGAATAATGAATTGTCACCTAGTAGGAGCACTGTACCTGAGCAGGTCTGAACAAAAATTGCTGGGAAAATCCCTTCCTTCTCATTCAGTCTTCCTCTATACCACTCCAAATCTACTTGTTCCAGTATTTGGATGTAGTCTCCCTTTTTAAAGGATAAATCATCTTTGGTTTCTGCTGTAAAATCATGAAGTGCTTCACACCACTCTACTGAGCGTCTGTTGTTCTAGTCAAGTGAACAGAAGAAATGCATTAATTTTAGAAGCATTAATGGAGCCCATACACTGATGGATACTGGTGAAAACAGCTGCACAGAACACAGGTGTCCTGACTTTCTTTCATAGAATAGCGTCACTGCAGATGTAGACTAGAATGGTATTTCAGCAATTAGCACAGAATTTCATCTAGGGTCAGACACATTCCTTTTTAACATTGGTGGCAGGGGAACAGTATTAATACATTCAAAATTAGACCACTAGAGCAATGTTTAAAATAGAGCTAATGAGAATTTGCTTAAGCATAAAGGATAAAAATTTACTTAATTTGCTAGAAGCTATAAATTTAAGCAGTTTAGGCCAACTATTAGAATTCAAGGTGTGACCATGCAGCATTGTGTGCTGTCGGAATTGCGTCACATTCAGGTTTAAAGTTGTGCAACCGATCTGACAGAATAGAAAGTCTATGTCAATCTATGAAACCACTATGTAAATTCTGGCCCTCACCTATAAAATTTTATTACCTGAGGAGCAAGAGAAGAAACTTCCACCTTGTTCTTCAGTGCTGCTCCTGTACCTACATAAGTAAAGCACAACTTAGCAATGACTACTCAAAACGTTACTAATGAGAGAGATTTTAGATACTCAGTGATTGTTAAGAATAGCTTCTTAAGAAGTCCTACTGTTCATTTTGACTTTTTTTGTCTTTTCTCCCTTTCTACCTTCTTCCCACATTCACTGTCTTTCTGGACTTTTCTCCTACATGCTGCCTATATCATGCAGTACAAAACCATGTTCTTAAAGACTGTTGCAAACATATTCATACCTGTTCCAGGCAGATCTTCTATTACTTCCACAAAGTTCAGAGGGAAAATTCCAGATGTGCCTCTGAGCTCCCCTTTGGCCCACTCTTCATTTACATATTCTTTAAGGATAATAGTTTCACCTTCTGAAAAACTGAGCTCATCTTTCTGATCTCCAATATATTCAAATCGTGCTACACATCTTGGGCCTCTGCACACACAAAAAAGACACTTACTTTATTATTACTGTCCACTTACAAATAAAGCAGCATTGTGCATATGCATTGATATCTTTTATTAAAATTATGAAAGAATGCACTGAAGATAAAACAGGTGGAAAATTGGGGTCTAGCCCTGGTTCTCATTTCTGCTTTCTGAGGAGGATGCGTATGGAGTCTGGAGGAGCTGCATGCAACTTCTGCATCCCAACTCCTGGCTGCTACAGTATTTTGCATAAGACCTTATTTCTCTTTCAAACAACAACAACAAAATTACTTTTTGTCTGAGCTACCTGTCCCATTATTTTTGCTTATATGCAAGTAAGTTTCCTGATACACTTCCGTTAAGGAGTTTGATGTTCTTTTGAGGTAGCATCCAATTTAGATGCAATCAAACATGGGTGTGGGGTAGGTGTGATGTATTTGTCCCAAATCCACGGAGTTTCATAGGGGGAAGCTACTTATTGTCTACTTTGACAAACTTTATTCTGGAAAATCCATCCCAGGCATGGGGAAATAACTTCTAAAGAAGCATCAATGCAGCTGATTAATTTTGCATGATATAATACTGAAAAAAACAAATTAATTTTATCCTCACTTAAATAGATTTAATAATTTAATAAACTAAGACAAAAAGTTTAAGAAATTACTCCTAAGAAAATTTTTGATTTATCAGAAAAACCATGCTGGAAAAAAGTGGTAACAGGCTTTAATTCTTTCTATAGCATCATAGCATACAATCAATGTAAGAAGCTTGATTCCCACCCCTGTCCCTTACTCATACCTTTGCAAAAGCTTCAGGACAGAGCTAGCACTTTCTGTTTCTTTCTTAGTTGCAGAAACAGCTTTTAAAAATAGTTTGGTTTAAGACAAGCCAAGCTCGACCTGAAGAACAAACTGAATGATCCCACTGATACTAGTGGTTCCTGCTGCTCCCTGCATTTGCTTTAATTGCTGCAGTGAATGATTACAAAATCCAATAAATCATTGAGTAAAAATAGCATGAAAAGTTGTTCCTTGCCCACAAATCTTCGTACAAGTTGTCTGCAAATCAGAAATGAAAGTGCTCAAAGTATATTTGATAATTTGATCTGGGGAACTTTAGATTTACCTGTACAGTTATACACTATAAGGTTAGATAGATTTCTCTACTTAAAGTACAGCTATATTCTGTCACATTTTATCTTGTTCTTTCAAATGAATAGGAGCCCTACCGTGTTATATCTTATGAGAGCACTGGAAGAAAATAACAAGGCCAGGAGCAAAAAGAGGAGAGTGCAGTGCTGCTGAAGTTAATCAGATTGGTTCACAGTTTCTGTGATGAATTTTCATGAAAAATTACGGGAAATGCTCTTCTAATGCAGCTCGTAAGAGGAAGGAAAGTGAATGAAAGGGACTATATCTATATAAACATTTATTATCAAGAGAAAGCGATCTATCAATCTTTTGAAGCCATGAAGTGAGTTTTCAGGCTTTTTTTACCTGAATATTAGTCTTATTAAAACATCATAAACTTTTGATTTTGAAAGTTTTAACTTTTAAAATATATGTTGGTGAAGAAATTGTTAACCATATTAACCTCAGCACAGATAACACGTGCTTCAAAGTTATCTTTCTTTTTATTTCATAGCAAATCAACATGGGAAAGCAAATAAGATTTATCTGACTCACTTAATACATTGTGATGAACGGGGTATTTTCTTCCTGTTGCCTTCTTCTGGAACATCAATCTATTAAGACAACAAAATTAAGTAAATTCTTACATTTCAAGCTCATGGCAACATAACTACAATAAACTTGAAACTGGTTTAAATAATATGGTTTTTAGCTAAGCATCAGCTCCAGTTATGATCTCCATGTGACTCTCTACAGTCGCTGGCATGCTGTGATGTATGACCACATGAATGTAGATTTCGGTTTTGTATGTCTTCTCATTTTTCAATCTCATGCAAACAAGAAGCACTATTTAATGTTTTCTGTTGTACTGTTTCTACTTGTGACATGATGGATTGACAGAATATGGGACTGGATGATATTACATGTTGTTGCATTTAGCTCCCAAATTTCAATTGGTAATTGCTCTCTATTATTTACTAGCAAAATATATCACAATAGACAAAATTATTGTTTACACTTATCCTTTCTGGGCTTTGGTAGCCAGCTGTCCTCCAAACAAAAATACGTGTCACAAATCTCACTTGAATTGGAGAAATGTAAGTTAGAAAATCAATACACGGATATACCAGACAGCATTCAAGTCCTTTACTGTAAAAGGACTTCAACTGTATTTTTTGCTGTGACACAAAGGATGATCTGAGAGATGTATCAGACTACAAGCCTAGGGACCCTGGCAAGGAGCTTTGGGTAAAAGCTCACTATCGCACGAGCCAGTTCCCATAAAAATCAACAAGAACGTTTCATTAGTTTATGTGAAGGACTGGAGGAAATCATGCTGCCTTTAAGGACAAACAATCTTTGCAGTGCTCTTGCTAGAGGAGCTGGTATCTGTGGTGCTCCGGAGGTTCTATGGGAAGTAATAACCATGTATTATTGTTATGTGTCCAGACCTAAGCTACTACCCAGCTCAATATTGTAAAACACACTATAGCGTATTGTATAGAGACCTTGTATCAAGATCAAATCTGACATGAATGAACAGGAGAATTCACTCAGTAAATTAACCTCATGTATTGCACTCGTTTCCCTTTTTTTTTTTTTTTTAATTTTGCTGAAACAAAAGGTTTTTGCACTCAAAGGGTAACCACCTTTTACAACTAAAATAGAAATTCAAAACACATCTTCCCTAGCTTTTATGAAGTTGTGTCTGTCTGTAACAATGCTGAATTTGACCCCAAATACTCACTTCACTGTTTTAACATAAAATCTTTTCTCTGTTAGCCATCAGTAGTAACAAGAGCTTTTAAATTAACTTGTTGGTCGGTGTAGAAGCTGCTAATCAATTTATCTAGCAAATCTTTTTCATGAAAGCAAATCAAGCATGGTTCCGTTATTACTAACCCCGAGTTTAGTTTTTGTTCTTCACCACTTCTCAAATCTTAAATTTTTTCTCCAGTAACACCATTACAAACTAAACACACTACACTCTCTGATGGTTACCAAATACATGGTATTGACCATGTAGCAGCAGTACTCATCTCTGCCAGCTGTCCTGGCTCAAGACAGACACTTACTGCCTTTAATGCCCAGCCATACACCTTCGCTGCATCCTGGTGTCAATTTAGCATTTGTCCGTGTCCATATGGCTGCTGTGGACAGCCCAATGGCCCTTTCTACTGTCACAAAATGGACTTCAGTCTCAGCTTGCAATAGATTTGACCCAGCTTCTGACACAGTGAACCATACTGTATCTTTTAAAGGTGAGGCATTCAATTAATTGCTATTGGGCTCCAAACCAGCACCTGTCTCTTGCCTGAAGTTTACTGTCAAATGTCACATGCAGTAACGGGATTGCATTAAGCTGCTCGTTTGCAACATCACAATCTCCTTGCACTGTGCCAGCACAGACGTTTGTGCAGCCACTCTGTAAGCCGCTTAGGCGAATTGATCCAGCTGGAAAAAAAATATTCTAGGAAGGAAAAAACCCATTTTGTTGGGCCCACTGCTGTCTTGACCTAGTTCACTACATGGCTATAGAAGTGGTGATTCCAGCATAGTTCAAGGGACAAGAAAATGAGAGAAGCTGGGGGGTGGGGGAGTGCACAAAAAGCAACCATTTTACTGAATGTTGATTCTTACATGCATCTGTGAAAAATAATCTGTCCATAAACCCTGAGAAACTACCCAGGTTAGCAAAGAGAATCTGGTAAGGGCAATGATTTTCTCACTTGGCTTCAAATCTACAGCAAAATAATCCCCATAACACAAGGTAGTTGTGCCAAATCAAGCATCTTTCTAATACCATACAAACAAGTCAATATTTCTTTTGTGCTGCCAGAGGGAAAAGAGATTATCTAAATACAGAATGGAGTTAAACACACAGGAGCTATAGTAAAATAGAACCAGAAAACAAATGCAATAGGACCTTATGTAGCAATGTATACAAAGCCTACATACAACTACTTTAACAAAGCTGGCAGGAAATATCCCTGTGTGATTCCCACATTTTCCTCTGTACCACTCAGTATCAATTTTCTCCAAAAGACAAACGGTGTCTCCAGAATGAAGGTCCAAGTCATCAGCATGCTCTGTAACACAGCATCATTTCAGTTAACAGTAGTTGTCACACTCATTGATTTTGTGTAAGTAAAACCTTCTTAATAAAAATACCCCAGACAAAACCAAAATGAATTTTCAAAAAGTCTTAATTACACTTGATAAACCCATTAGCTTTAACTAAAAGACTGGCCCAACTATAGCTAAACCCATGGATTTGAACAACTTTACATGCAGACCTTGCAGGCTGAGCTTCCTCATAATTTTTAGGCTCTAATTCCTAAGAAAATTCCCATTTGAAAGTCTTAGAGTAGAAAAGCTTACAGAATATTCACATTTACTTACCTGCAGGAAAATCATGCAGGACTACAGCATGAGGCGCACTTGTGTCAGAAACTTTTGGAGGGTGGTTTGAATCCTGACGACAACAACAAATAAATCCAGTTTATAAATCATGGAAGATACTAACAGATTCTTTGTTACGTACTCTGAAAGTAATTTTACGACTTTGGACACAATGTTGTTCTGGTATCAGTGAATCACCTTCAGAGGCAACAGTTAGTATTGGCCACACAGCACGGGTCTAAGTTCTGTATGCCTTTTGCCTTTTGCCAGTGTAAACCAGAATGAACTTCACCAAAATCTACTTCTTAGCCAGTAAAAGGAAGGGAAGGCATGTAACTCTTCCCAGTATAGACAAAGCCTCAGCTATCTTGGTGGGTCAGAAATCTGGAGCACTGATAGCAATTCTCATTGTAAGGGTTGTGGCCAAATCTTGCCTGCTGCTCAGTACTGCATACAGCCAGTTACTCTCCTTGCTTGGAGAGAAGACCCTAGCCCAACTCTTCTCAGCACACCCAGCAGGGGCAGCACATCTGCCAACTGCTAAGCACTTTAGAGGGGTGAGCAAGCCACTAGGCCTTTGCTTACAACAAGAGAGGAAACAGCAATTTTGTTGTGGGATCTTTATAAAGGGAAATTATATTTGAAATGTTGAGCCTTCTTCTCTATCCCACCCACTAGGAAGTTTTAGACTGTACTGATGACAGTCACTGTGCATGACTTACATTCAAAATAATTCACTGCCTACAAAATACCCAACCAAAAAAAGCCCAACATGGACAAAGATAAGGCCAGATTAATATGAATTACAACTGATAACACAAAACAGATGCAGATTGCATATAAATCTATTTCAGCCATGTAGGTTTCTGATAATAATCAAAAAGGCTGCTCATAGCTATAATTTATACTAGCTATTTAATATTAATACAGTCATGCCCTAAAAACAGGTTAGGTTCTGTAGAAGCAGAGAGAGGAAAATACTTTGAAGTCTGTATGTCAAAGCCAATTCACTGATATATCATGTACAGCACTTCATAAAACTACTTGTTTATCTTTGGCCCGCTCTTCAGATACTCAGTCAAGGGAGTGATTATCTTCCTATGAGACAGAGGAACTTTACTAGTTTCCTCTCCCTTCTGGCACTCCAAGTAATTACTGTTGCTCTGCCTCATAAGCAGAATATCCCTGTGCTATAAGGCAAATCACCATTATTGGGTTTTGTTTTGGTGGTTGTTTTGTTTTTATTAAAGAAACACAAGGATTTAATAAACTACTATTACATTTCTCAGTGTAACCTTTAAAGCACTTGATACAACAGCAGACTTCCTCATTAAATATTTATCAACAGAAAAAAATTCCTTACCTTACAGGACAGTTCTCCAGGGTTCCTGGGAAGACAATCTTCCTTGGCAACTCCATGAGGCACAGGTAGCTTGAACAGAAACAGAGGCAAGTGGAAAAGTTTGTTTCACTTCTAAGCACTTGAAATTCCCACTGCAAGTGAAGATGGTCAGACAATGGAACTATTCAAAGCACGTACTACAGGTGACTAATTTAGGAGTCCTGGGAAAGAGGACAAGCTCCTTTGGAAGGTGTTCAGAATGGACTGCTGGTGATACGAACTGCCACTTCAAGAAACTCAAGTGTTGTCATCCACTTTAAAAGTGTCTTAGCCACCTAACTGGTATCATACCATACGGTACGTGATGCTCAGCAACACACTGACATGGAAATGTATTAATTTGTCATGGACGGCACTGGAAAAACAACCTGGGAGGAAAATTTAATTGACAGTAGCACTTGAGGGCAGGGAATTACTAGTGATCTGCTACTGAAAAAGATCTAATCTACAAAATATGTCACACGCTCCTTATGTAAATAGCTGTGGCTACACCAGAGAGGAGGCAACATGCTTCCCTCATCTCAAAGCTGTTCCTACTATCAATTTGGATACATCTTTCTCTCTCTTTGTTGCTCATCTGCTCCACCAAGATCTAAATGCAAGAGTGAAGGTCAAAAAGGAAACAACAGAAAGCTTCCACTTCATGCTGAATGTTGATGATGTTCATGCTATGGTTGTACGGGTGCTTTTTTTGACAACACCACTGGTTCAAGCAGTCACCAGCTCTGATCACTGACCAGTTTCAAGTACCCAGGGAAAAAAAAAGACTGTCTCCTTTTTATCTGTACTGTTGATCCATTTATATTTAATATTCCTTAACAACACATGTAATACCAAAAAGAAACATTTTTATAATAAAAAGGGATGGCATCGATAGGATGAAAATGTAAGATAAGTGACATTACATTCCTCACTCTTTGCAGGCTTGATTAAGCAAGGTAAACAACTTTTTAAGTTCTAATGCTCCCCCAATTTTCTTAAGCATTTTGACATATACAGGGAAAAATAACATACAAACAAATTATTTAGCATCATTTTACATGTTGTAATAGAATTCAGAACTGGTGACTGTACAAAGAACCTCCCAAAACTAAAAGCTATGCATTAAAGATGTATTATAAATTACATATATACACAAAAATACATACACATATATCTGTATTTTGCATGTATATTGCTTTCTCCAGTATTGCCTTACAGTACTTACTACTATTTATCTATTAGTATTTTCTAAGGACTGTTATGCTGATAGATGAACTTCTAAAGCCACATCATAGTAATACTGCCTTTTTCACTACTATTTTAAGCAGCACTGTTTTATAAGCAACAGTCCCGGAATATCTCAACTCTCACCATGTATTTATTGTAGAGAGGATGACCTGGTTTAGGTCTAGGAGGTAATGCTGGATCTGGACTTTTAAAGACTTGACTTTTTGTTCTCTTGGGTCCCAATCTGAACTTGCTGGGTTTTTTATCAGGAGCGATGTCAGAAGTAGATCGTGAAAGAGCATCTTTCTGGGAGGAGGTCTTGGCTGCAGAGAGTTTTGGTGGAGGTGGCCTTCCAGGAACACCTTTAGGTGGGGGAGGTCGAGCAGGTATAATTTTTCCATCCACAGGCCTAAAAATTGGGCAGACCATCAAAGAAATATGCATATTAATAAGCCTTCTTCCTCTTTCTCCACCACAGCCCTAGCTATAGAGTATGCAATAAGTAAACGTGACTCACAATGAGCTGGGCTGTAGAGTGTGTAGTATCTGAAGGTCTCCAGGAATACATGAACTCTTCAGATACTGAGATTGAATGGTCAAGTCCTTAGACAGATCCTTTGACTACATATCTCCAAGTCTGCTCACCACTTTATCAACAGCTGGCCAGCTTTCTAAGGAGCCCACTACATCTAAGCAGGATTTCTTTCAGTAATCCACCTTTAGAAAGGGCTCTGTCTGAAGCTGCCTCAGGATGTTCTTCTAGGGGAGAGCTTCAGTGGAAGCCCTTAGAAGCTCTGCTGATGTAGCTAGTTTTCAGGAATCAGCCTAGCTCATTCCTTGGGATGTCACCTACCTGAAGTGACTTTTGGGCCTGTGCTGAAACTCATAACATGTGACACCACTTTGCACAATAGCAGCAATAGCAGAATTTACCACTTTTATGCAACAGATGTCTACTGCAGAAAGAAAACAGTGAAAATACTCTAGTTTTCTGGCAATGCTGGAATACCACACTCTCATTAGTGTACCAGTAGTTTAGAAAACAGAATCGGAGACTAGTAAGTGACAGTGGTAATTTAAAAAAAACAAATTAAACCCCAAAAAAATCCCTCTTACTACTAAGCATTGGTAAAAAAAAGCTGCCTATATAGTACACACAAGACATGATTTTTAGAATCAAAGAGTGTGGCCAAATCAATAATTTTCTAATTAAAAATCACCTCTGTTATAAATCAACATTACATATATAAAACTTTGGCTTCCTGTAATTAAGAACCCTGGCACTACCACTATTCCAAAAATACAATATTGTTTTAATGTTATTGGGAAATTTTCGGCCAGTTACTGCAAGTTTCTGCTACAATTGTCTCTCTTTTTTTCATATAGTGTAATTCAGCATAATTATTTGCTCATGTGAATTCCTCAAGGGTCTGTAAAAATTATCAACCACAACAAATGTACATTAGCAGATCTTTGGAGTATACTTCTGACTTATTTTGTGAATGTCATCCACCGCCTGAACAGATAGTGCTCCACTAATGCTGCTGATAAGCGTTCTCTGTTACTATTTGAGTATGGATTATTTTTTAATTTAAACAAAATATTTCCACTTCTGTTCAACTTCCACCTCTCCCCTTTCTTGACTTCACCCTAAACTAAGCATTTTTAATATTGACAAAAGGGGATATTCCAAGTTAGACTGCACTAAATCTCGAAACAAACCAACTCATATGTTTGTAAGATAACCCAACTAAACAAGAAAACCCTAACAAACAATTCAGAGAATTACTACTGCTTACTTAAAAAAGAATAAAAATCCATTTGAACAGAAGAGTGAAAGCACTGCAGTTCCAGAGACCCTCAGGAGAATCAGGAATGCTGTTATGCTAAACAGAATGGAGGAAAGTAACCAGTCCCTAAGGGGCAATAATGAGGTGTTTTCTTGTGGGTGCAACTACATTCTTTCCTGTTAATGAATACTAATTATGATTATTGGTAGGCTAAGTTTAATAACAGAAAGATTCTCTTATCGTGACACAGAGCAAACTCTTGTGTTTAAACCCACAGACTTAGAGTGCAGATGCTGAGATAGCTGCAGTGCACTAGCTGGCCAATGCCTTATCTCCCTCCAGTTTGGCATTTAGTGAACCTGAATTTTAAGGCTGGTCCAGCTACTTTTGCCTCTGCGGACCTTCTTTCCTTTTGGTTTAAAAGAATAATAAAAAAAATTAAATAAATCAAGGTTATAATTGATTTTGCACCTTCACAGGTGTTTTAGGTCTGAAGTGAACTGTATAAACTAGGCAGTGCTTCTGGGAAGGTCCTGGCCCAGAATCTACCCTTTTCAGGGTGGCAGCATCTGCCACCTCCATTCCTTCAGCACTCAAACCCAGCCACAAGTGCAAATGCTGATGATCAAAAGGTCAGCAACATGCAGGAGGGGATGTTCTTCGTTCAGCTGTGGGTGAAAAGGTTAAAGATGCAGAAAGGAATGACTGTCAGCAGCCACTGTACGTTAGCTGAAGAGCCAAACAGCTGTCCTCCTATAATCTCCCTGCTCATACCAATAATGTACAAACAAGTATTAATCAGCTAGCAACTTGGTCCTGCCTATTTATTAGTGAGCATACTACCTACCCAAGATTAGGACTATAGTTGGTAGTGACTAACTGGCAAACCAACTCAGAAACGTCACTTTTAAGTGAGTCACTGAAGAATTTCACTTACCTTGGGGGTAGTACAGGTTCTAGCTGAGGCACTCCACGCTGTTCTGAATGATCCAAATCCTACAAAGATTCAAAAGAAAAAAGCCACTAAGCCTAAGAAACAAAAATTATCTTGTTTAAATGCTGCATTTCTTATATTAAATTATATCCTACAGACAGGAAAACAAGTTTGGAAATAAAGTGAAAAGTATTATGGTGTGCTCTGGCATTTTAAAGTCTTGTTGGACATAGTGGGAGATGTAAATAACCTGGCTGACTACCTGAATCACAGCTTAGATTGTGCATTAGGTATGACACAGCCCTCTTTTTCCTACTACATGGGAGTCATGGCTAAGAGCCAAGAGAGTCATACAAATGTACAATTTCACTGCCTGTAGGATTCCAACTGCTGCATTACATTATCAATTTTGATTTAACTTTAACAGATGAAACAGGCTTTGAACAGACTTAAAGAAGAAAACATGACATTGATGTAACTCACACAGGACAACGAATCTTGCAAATAACATCAGCTCTCCTTAAAGAAGGCATCTAAATGTATTTCCTAGAGATCTAACAGATAAACCCCGGTGAATCTTGCTTTGACAGATTAAGGCATCATTCCTCCCAGCTGCCCATCCTGACCCTGTAGCAGAGTCAGCAGAGGGGAACATGTGCCGTGTCTGAAGGGCTTGGACCACAGTAATGGATTAACAAGTTACCACCCTTTCTGCCTCCTGCTGTTCACTTTCATCCCAGTGCCAGAAAGTAGTCAGCTCTGCTGAATGAGCACAGCTGACTGTGGAACAGTGTGGTAAATCAGAGTGCTGAATCTGGGTTCAGAAGTATCCTTTTTGAATAAGTAATTTTAAATAGGTCTAAACAGTCTTGTTTACTTCATTAGGGATAAATGTGCTTGAAACTGGTAAACAATTTCTGTGATTTTTCCCACCTAGAAAATACCTTGATGTATTTTGTGACACAATTTTGACCCTTAAGTCCCTAAATGAATGTTTCTGATTACATGATCCTGATTAGAAAGAAAACAACCTGCCACTTTCAGATGGGGATGTTACCCTCATACCAAAAATTTTCCTCTTCTTTGTGAAAAGAAATTTGTGTCAAATGCTGCTTATGGTCACAATTTTTACTGTTGCTGGTTAATCACTTTCACTGACAAACAATACTAATTTTAGAAGCACAGAAGTTCTTACCTTTCCAAAGATAAGATTTAAATGTTTCAGCAAATTTGATGCAGTATGTTTCTTAAAAAAAAACCCACTTTTGAAGCTTATACATGCCTATCACAATAACCTGTATGACACTGTAAAAGTTTTGGGGTTGCATTGCATAAAATATTTAACATCTTGTACTGGAAATTATTTTTTTTAGCATTATCCAGAAAAGATGGGACCTCTGTGAATAGCCTCCTCAGTCATGACATTTAAAAAACACTTTATCCTCTTAGCAGAAGTAGCCACAAAGATATTTGTTGGCAGCTGTCCATCTAGTGAGGGCTTTAGATTTGATTGGATCTCTTTACTGCCTGTGGTTTCCACAAGATTCTCTGCCATTCTTGCCATCATAGCACTCAATATTTGGAAATTCTACTGTCATCTTCTAGTTTATTTTAATTCCCTTATGTAAATCTGTGTCAAAGGGCATAGAGGATACACAGCTACAATGTCTACCGCTACTATGTGCTCAGGAGCAAGGAGCAGAGCCTTACTTTTCAAAAGTAGATAGTTCTACTCAGGCTCTGACAGGACCAGTAGAAAACAATTAGAAGGAAAGAGCTAAAGAAAGCAAACTTCATTAATCCACAGAAAAGTTTCCTCTGCTTGGAAATTAACACAGACACTGAGAGGTACTGTGTGTATGAAGGTAAAAAGTACATTTCTAAAAGTATTTTGACAATATGTCATTATGTAAGTCTCACTGGACTTTGAACCATTTTGCAGTGCTTTTGAAACTATAATGTAGAATATCCTGATTCCAGCTACTAAATACAGAAAATTGAAGATAGATGTGATCAAAGTTTAGTAAAATCAACAAAGTGCTTTTCAGAACTAACAGCAGTCTAAGTTACCTAATGAAATTAGAGAATGCAATTAAAAGAAAAAAGCCTTATATTTTTGAGTAGTCCTTTTCATCCTTTGGTCCTTCAAATACTTTACAAATTCTTGAGAGTCACAGGAGATCTGTTAAGCAAAGCAGACAAAGTTCTAATACAGAAAAACAGTTCTAACTTACCGGTTTTTTTACTAGGTCACCACTGTTGGGTTTTCCCACTGTGATATCGGAGGTGTTCCCAATAGGCTTTTCAGCAGGAAGAGGTGGAGGGCTGTGCGGGATTTCATTTAAAGCTGTAAAAAACCAAAAGTTCCCAGATTAAAGTCTAATTAATAGCTTCTTTACATGGACCAACAATAGATAAGGGAATCCACCTTGGTTTGGGGCATTTTTTTGTGAATGCAACTTCCTTCCTTAAAGCCAGAGCAGCCACTGGACAGGACCACTTAAAGACTAGTGAAGAGAAAAGGGACATGAAGGGAACATGGCAACCCTGAGGTTGACTTCAGGAGTACTTGCCATCCTGCATAACAGATCTTCACTTTACTCTCAGGACACCACAAGTTACTCTACGGTTTCAGGATTTCAGCTGTAATACTTGTTGATATAATATCAGACGAGTAGAAGAGTTTCTACCCCTGGGAATGTCAGACTTATTACTGGATACCCTGAAACACCATCACCATCTCTCAGCCACATTTCTAAACTGGCTCACTTTTTTCAGCTGTCAGCTCCTGGAATATCCCTCAGGCTGGAAAACAGCTGAGGGTTATTTCAAGTAACCCTGAAAGATCAGGAGACTTGGATGGAAGAATCTCCAGAAAGGTAAAGGCAAGAAAAGAAACTGTTGCCTGCTAAAAATTTAGGGTGACAAAGAAAACAGAGATGGAAGCTCCCTGGTAGTCTTTAAGAAGCTAAGCAAATTTAGGACATGAAAGAGGAAACAGTACAGGTTCTTACTAGGGAAGAGTGATGATGTCCTCTGTCTCAGTAAAGAACACAAAACCCTGCTAATTCTATGATATTTGCTTTCAACATCTCTGCCATTGAAACCTGGGAAGCTCTTGGACAGGTTTTGCCAGCATATTTACCAACCATTTTGTCTTTCTTGATTGGAACCTTTACATTGTAAAATAGATGGCTTTATATACCAAGAAAATTAATTTCATACAGAGAACTTTAGACACTTAAGTTCTTCTGACTTCCAGCCAGTCTTGGAGTTATGTAAAAACATGTGTAGACAGCCTGGACACCTATAGACTGATGACAAAAAAAGAGGAGAGATTCTATCCAAAAGAAAACTTCTGGTTGCTCATTTCATGAAATGCAGTCTCAACAAATAAAGAACACATATGAAGGAGAAGTGTTGTTTGTTTTATCACCTCAGTTGCATTACTATGATCTAAAACACTGGTGTGATGTTTAAAAACGGATCAGTTCAAGGATAAATCCCTTATTCTTAGGATGAGGTCACAGTTACTGTGTTGGCAGTGACCAAACACAGGGAAAAAAAAAGTTGGCAGTGACCAAACACAGGGAAAAAAAAAGTTGGTGGAGTTCATCACTTTCCTAAGATTGTATAATGGATGAAAAGTAAAAAAAATATCTGACAGTAATTGCAAGAGAAATCTTCTCTTATCGTACCTTACTGATATTTAAAAAGCACATGAGATTTATTTATTCACACCACTTCAAATCTTGATATATATACAGATGGCCTAATTTCCACTTTATAAGACCAAAATGAAAGGAAATAAAGTAAGAAAAAAAAAAAAAACCAACACAAGAACTAGAAGGCAGGTGTTATTTTCAGTGATTTCTAAGTGTAATAACTGAAGTGGAAGTTTAGTGCTTCCTTTCTGATCACATCTTGACAAAAATGCTAATGCTAAATGAGTGCTTTACTGGAGTTCAAATTCTTAAGCTCTGTCCCCTTTTCAGTAGTACTGGGTGGAGGGGTTTTTTTGGTTTATTGGGGTTTCTCTCTTTGGTTTGTGCTGGTTCCTGACAGAATTATTCTCTATTCATACCCACGATAGTGAAAGACCCCTTGTACTGAAATTATGTGGCTCTCTTACAAGGTAAATCCTACTATATACATGTTATAACTTCACCCAGTTGTACTCTTCTCATTTTTTAACATTTAACAGCTTATATTTCTGCAGCAGCTCCTATCTGACAAAAGGCTACATATGCTGCTTTCTTGGAACCTGCTCCTGTTCCTCCACATCCCATTAATCTTCCAGTCACAGTCTACCATAAAGCAGTCCTTCACACCCCCCTGACAATTGTAGTTAAGTACAGTATGACTAGCAGTCTCCTGTGAAAAGTGCAATTACCACTAGAGAGCAGCAAGAGACCAGTTATCTACAAGTTCAAAAAATAATCCAGTTGGGGGGGGGGGGGGGGGGGGGGGGGGAGAAGAAAAAACCCAATTGTCAGGGTTTTTGTTTTTGTTTTTAATGGAAATTACAGTTTCCTTTGTAGAGAAGAATTATCTCTTGGGTTCTTTACAGTATTTTGTACACATATTCTTCCAACTGAAAAAAAAATATTATTTATGATCAGGTATTCACAGAAAGACTTTTCCTCATAGCTTTATCTTCAGTCTTCTCTGCATTTTTAACCATTTCCACTGTATTTCTCGATTGTGCAGAGGAAAAGGAAACCTAGTATTTTAGCACTGGAGTGGTGGTGGTGGGAGAAGAGAACTCAGGAAATAATGAGAGAAAATCTTAGGAGAAAAGCCATCTGGACATCTAGTTGCTACAAGCTGGCTCTACAGCTACTCAGTATAGTAAAACATGATTTTAAAATATGAATTTTAAGAGCTATCTTGTGACATTTCTCCCTAAGCTTTGAGGATAAAACATAAGGCTAAACAGAAGCAAGTATGTACTTCAGCATAGAAACATCAACACAAAGACCTTGGGGCTCTGATAAATTTCCACTCTGAGATACTGTCAATGTCATTTGTAAAGCTGTAAAGGATTAGAGGTGGAAGGCAATAGGGATATGATAATTGTCAGAAAAGTATAGTCAAGACCTTGACACAAAATTGAACACATCTGGTTTTTCATTGCATGCCTTTTTTATTCCCTTGACTGCTACCAAAACACTATTGCTTAAACAGCCACAGATTTCAAATCTAACAAGGGTCAAGGTAAGTGTTTGAAGCAAAGTTTAATACACTAATATTGTTCCTTTGACAAGTAGGGGCCCTGCTTTCTTGAGAAAGCTCAAGAACGGCATTAAAATATCCTCAGCTGATGACAGAAGAGAAGTCTGTACCTTTGACCAAATGTACAGCTCAGCTGACAAAACAAGCTTGCTTCTGCTGAAAGGGTCTCCTGCAGCTCTTCCCTGCCTTTAAATACCCACACACACACTGTTTCACCTCTGATATGCGTTAACTCCATAAGGTTTGATGGACATCAAACTTTGCGCAAGGGAGGGAGCCAGGCGAGGTAGCTGGGAGGCAGGGAGATGAGAACATGACTCCCAGCTATTTCTCCCTCCCACCACAGCCCTTAGGATGGCTCCTCTGTCTTGTCAAACTGTATCACGGGATTCCTTTGGCAGCTAATATGGCTAGTAAACAGCAACTCAATTAGTAAATAGTAAGTCCCAGTTAAAATGATTTTCGGACAGAGATTTCTCAGACCATTCTGAAGAAGAACTTACGTTTCCCAGGTTTAGCAGGGATTCGGATCACAGTGGGTTTCCGGGCTAAAGCTGGTTGGGCTGTCTGTTCCCTTGCAGGTTCACTTTTGGTGAGGAACTGAAATGGATCTAAAATTTAAAGAAACACAAAATATTTAATATTTATTTGTTGAACACAAATCTCACTGGGTATTGCTTTCATTATTAAGGACATTTATATTTCACATCTAAGAAAGTAAAAAAAAAAAATCAGACTGATGCAAACATCATACTCAGCATTTTGTACATAATGTGTCTTTTCCGTACATCTGCATTCATAGTTGACTTAACATAAACATGCTCCAGATGCCTTCTGGAATTATATAAGCCACTGAACAAGAGGAACTACATTGCTTGGTAATAGGGGCCGGAAATCAGGATGGCTTCAGGAAAATGTTTTCAAAGCAGTTGGTCTAATATGCAGACATAGCTGTGAACACATTTGTCAGAAAATTTTAATCAATAAAATCTTGCCAAAGCTAAACAATCAGCACTGCAGCAGATAAAATGCCTACAGAAACAAAACAAAACAAGGCATTTCAATATTACTGATTACAAAATGTCTTTGCTGTAGAACAACTAATTCCCTGGAAGATTCTGCATCATTTTGTTGATTATAAACCTGGTGTCATGGGGGAGACTGGTTCAGACCAAGGACTGGAGTTGTGCTGGAGCTCTGCCCCTGCCTGTATTACTCATTCCTCTACAAGCCTGTCCAATCATCCCATTGCTAAGACAGGAGCAATGTTTTCTATGCTCCATAAACTTAAGCACTGGTCTCTTATTAATAGGCATGGGAACATATGTGCATGTAGAAGGCAGCTGTAAAAATACTTGTACATAAATAAAATGCAAATCAATGCGTTCTTTCTCAAGTACACCTTCATGTGAAAGAGCAATACTTCATTTATACCTCTTCTTTGTTGTTATTAACTGTTTTTCTCTGACATTACCAAAACCTGCAGTAAAATGGCAACACTTAACGGTATCGTAAATGTGTAAAATAGAAATGGGAGAAGCATTCTGGACAATAAATTCTCCATAACACATATTCATAGCCTCAACAACTGAGTTTGATCTCCTCTGGTGGCCTTTTTAGATGTTATTTATGGAGTGTCAGAGTCTCAGAGAAGAAGTATGCTGGGCATCTCTTTAAATTCTTCAGGACTTTTTATAAAATCATACGCTTTCCCTAAACCACTGTGACACTTTCTGACAAAGTTGAAAGCCCTGTATTTGATAAGATTTTATCTTCAACACTTATTAAAAAAATTTTTTAAATTATGTAATATGAAATGATGATTTCTTACATATAATTTTGGGTAGTATAACACAATGCATCGAGGCACTAGAAATCTGTGTCTGGGAATATACATAAGATTTAAGAAAATCTAGAAATATGGTATTTATTTATGAACGACCTCATTAAAAAACTTTTAACATTTTAATTAAAAAAAGCCTTGGCATTTTGAAAGAGCGGGGAAGACCACCAAGTACATCAAGCTCTGTTTTGTTTTGGTTTTTTTTAACCAAAAATAGTAATTTCAGAGAGAGAAAACACTGTGTAATATTGAGCTGCTGAATTACAGTGTAAAGGACTGCCCTCCCATATGCACACGACTTGGTGGTCACAGGTCACTGAGCTCTGCTGCAGCTCCCCCTTGCCAGGTGCTCTGCCTGCAGCTGGCATCCCCCTCTGACCATGCCCCCCACTCTGCCCATGCCCCCCTCTCTGCCCAGCTCCTGCTGCCAGCACACAGCTGTACCAACAGCAGGGACAACGTGCTGCAGGACCCATGCACTCTCAGCCCTGCTCAGGTGTCCACCTCCCGCTAGCCCCTTGTTTAAGGCTTTCTTCATAAGCATATCCATCACTTACAGATTTGCCATGGAGGTTTGTGCCATGGTCTCTCTTGTAGACAAGACATCTACCTGCCTACAGGCTCCCCAGAAATCTGCCTGGGTACCTTCGTGTCACGTTTTAATCATGAATCAAAGCACATCAATTCCTTTTGTCACACTGCTTGTACACTAGCTTTGAGCATACGCTTCAGGTAGAAAGGATCATGACAGGTCAATGATTTGTCTACAGCTAAAGGTATACAGGCTATAGTTAAAAGTAAGCTCTGTTACCATCTAGACAGAAGATGGCTTCATCATGCCGTGCCCAAAGACACTGGCACATCCAGAAACTAGGCACAGGCAAACCACAGTGTTTTAGAAGGTAAACTAACAACTTGTTTAAATTATAGATTAGCACTAGTCAGTAAAAGGTTTAGGTCTCTTCAGCGAAAGCTGCATCAGAGCAAGGATTTTTCTAGAGGACTTGAAAACACAGACCACAAGAAGGGTGCAAGCATTCCAGCAGTATGGTCATTACAAGCAACAAAAATCCCACTAAGAACAAGCCTGCAGTTCTCATTTTCTTTCATTCCTTTACACCTATGTCTTGCTAGCTACACTGCTAACATTTGAATTGCATTTAAAAAAGATTTATCTAATGTTAACTCTTATGCTGGTCTTCACAGTGACTTCAGTGCAGCTGAAAAAGAGAAAAAGCAAAAGCAGGCTTTCTTCTCTCTTTCCGTTATCTGGCAACTCTGTGACAAATTTGAGAAGTGACCCTGGCGAGGCAGCAGGGCAGTGGGGCCTCAAAGCTGCACTGGCCAGTTGGAAAGCTGGAGACAGAGAGTGAGCAGAGAAAAGGTGATCAGGGCTAAGTCCTGGGTTCCTTGACACAGCAGGACCGTAGAGCACATGCTGGCATACGGAGCACCTCTCAAGGTAACGTTCTGCCGAGGTTAAGGACGTTCTGCATGAACAACGAAGAAACAATTTTCCAAAGCCTCATCTTACAAAAACATAGACATCATGAGAACAAGTGGAAATGCTGTAAACACCCAAAATAATCACAGATCTGTATTCTTGTACGTTTATGGGAGATTTAAAATTGTTCAAAATTACTGTTTGTCAGCTGTTAATCATTGCAATGTGTAGAAATGTTTTTCTCGACCAGAGAAGTTGGCAGAGGTCTCTAAATCAATAAATCCGAAAAGTAATTTTTAACCCTGAGAAAAGTAATTTCTAAAGCTGAGAAAGCCATTCGATGAACCTTAGTTTTCCACTCATTATCTTATGTTCAATTACATTGTCGTCACCTCATAATTAGTTCAAAACTCATTACCTTGTTTGTGTTATTCCACTCCCTAGTGCTGGGTTTGCAGCAGAAATTGGCTGAGTAAATGACTGTGCTGTTTTGTTGCAATGGGACTGACAACATATCAAATTTTTATGTTGTTTAACAACAATTGGGCATCGTTTGAGCATAATTCATGGAGGTGTGAAAACAGAATTGTTAATGTACTCATTTAAAGCTTCTCAGCTCAAGGAAATTAATCTGCAAGGCATTTTTGATAACATATCAACAGACTTTTATCGTTTTTTTTTTTTTTATTAAACTTTTACAATGATGCTTAAAGCCTGTGTCTTCCTTAATCTCATTTTTCTACAGCTTCTGTTTCGAAGGTTTATCTGCTTGTTTGCAGGAAAGACAAATGAAAGCTGTGTATTCAAATACACTATCTTTTACCTGTTTAGGAGAGACTTCCC